CAGTAGTAAAAAGAACTTGTGGAGTTCACAATAGTGCAAAAGTTGTTCATATCTAATAAATAATTGAACAAGTATGAAGTAGAGAGCAGCATACTTCCAGACTATAAAGATCAGGATGTTCAAGTATGTCAAGTAAAAATACAGTAGCAATGCAGTGGGGGTCTAAAATGACTGTCCCAAATGCATAGGACAGTATAGTATTCCAGTAATGCATACTGAGGTACTGTAGTAAAGAGTTGAGTATAATGTCCATTAAGAGTTCAGCAGTCTGATGGCCTGGGGGGAAAAAACTGTTACAAAACTAGTTGGTCCTGCACTGAATGCTGCATTAGGGATGGGTGTATCAATACTTCGATACCCACTGTTCGATATTTTGGAGTCGATACTTTTTAAAATATCACGATACCACTGTGCTACAAAACATACAATTTGTTTTTACTTCTGTTGGGAAAATGCTGTGTTATGGCTTGTTTGAATGCTCAAGAAGATGTTATACATTTGTATGTGCAGGTGTTTTTGTTTAGAGCAGATGATGTATTCATGCTTGAGCTGATCCACATAGTTCTCACAAATACCAGACCAAAAAACCCAGACCACGAGTATGCAGAAAAGTTTGTGATGGCACCCAGCTCTGTCTGGTAGACAGGGACTGATAACAGGGATTGAATTCTTGAACTGCCACATTACCAACTTGACTGTATAAATAGGCTTAGTTGAGACTGCCTCTCTGAGCATTGTTTTCATTCAACTGAACAGTATGTATTGAATGCTCCCTTGCTGCAAGTATTAAAATCCTTATATAAAGAAAATCGGCCTCGGTCTACTCAGTCCGTTTATTTATGATAAAATAACTCTTCTGAGAGGTTTAGGTATGAAATTTATGTGTGAAAACCAACTCGGGCATATTTTAGATGATCTTCCATGTCACATGATTATGGTAGCAGCCTATCAGATGTCAAATTCGAAGGCTTACTGCGCAGCCTCAGTCAAGCACTGCCTTAGTCCTCACTCTGCTGCTCAGACTGAATTCAGTCAGCAGCACCGCGGTGTAGCAGCATGGATGACTGAGAGCGAAAAAGAAGTGTAGTGTGGTGCTATATTTCACCCACGACCAAAGGTAATGCAATGTGCTCCACCTGCAATAAAGTGGTGCCACATAGCAGCAACACTAGCAACCTCTTTAAGCATTTAAAGACAGCGCACCCTGACACTTTTAAAGAGGCTGAACATCGCCATTAGTGTTGTCACGATACCAACATTTTGGTACCGGTACCGGTACCAAAATGTATTTCGATACTTTCGATACTTTCGATACTTTTGGATAGTTTTTCAGACAAAAAGAGAAGGCAAAAATGTCATTACTGACTTTATTTTAATAGAAAATCTTAGAATAACATCAAAATAAAATTCAAAATACTAGGCTTTTCTTATTGCACTCAAAAAAGATTTTTTTTAGAACAGTCAGTGTGAGTAAATAAAGCCGGCGGCGCTGCAAGTACCGGTACCGTCCAAATGCAGTATAGTACCATTTTAAATGCCTCAGTACCGCGGTACCATACTAGTACCGGTATATCGTGCAACACTAATCGCCATGAAGACAACCAGCAAGCCTCAAAGTCCCCTGCACCACCTGCTGTCTGTCAGAAGACATTGCAGGAGAGTTTAATGAAAGGCAAAGAATATCCCGGTACAGGTAATAGTGAATGTGTTATAAGTGATTTAAAAATTGAACGAACCATTATTCTATTAAACTACCCAAAATATGCAACTGAGCTGCGTTAATCTTGGATGAAGCCATGTTCACCACTCTTTCATTTAGCTCATATGCTTGGACTGTATGTATCAGAAAATAATGACAGTTTTGCTTCTAGAATGTTATTCATAGAAGTAATTTTCCTTTAAGGGGCAAAAGGTATTGGTATCCGTATTGGTATCGATGGAAAAAGTACCATAAACTAATGGTGTTGTATCGAAAGGAAAAATGTTGGTACCCCTATGCTGCATAACCTCTTTCCAGAGGCCAACAGGGAGAACAGCCCATGGTAGGGGTGTGAGGAGTCACTGATGATGTCTCTGGCTCGGGACAAGCAGTGCTTTGCAATGACCTGAATGAAAGGAATAAAGGCTTCAGCACCCTCTTGTGTAACTGGGGATGCTGAAGCCCAGGGGTCCCAGTTTGTCTACCAGATGCTGTGGAATGATGGTATTAAACGCTGAACTAAAGTCCAGGAACAGCATCTACACGAGTGTTCTTCTCCTCCAGGTGTGCAAGGCTCAGGTGCAGAGTGGAAGAGATGGCGTCCTCTAATATGTTTGCTCCCCTGGTTGCAAAATCCACATACTGGTAGAAATGTTGGAGAACTGTTTTCATGTTGGCCTGATTAAAATCTCCAGCAACAATGAAAATGCCCTCAGTGTGAACTGATTGCAGCTCACTGATAGTCTGGTAGAGAACACTCATAGCCTCCTTTGTGTTAGTGCTGGGGGGCATGTACACAGCAAAAATGATAACTAAAGTAAACTCCCTGGGCAGATAGAATGGCCTACAATTTACAGTCAAAAGCTCAATGTCCGGTGAGCAATGGCTTGAGACAATCCTAGCATTATTACACCAGTTGTTATTGATGTAAATACACAAACCACCCCTCGGGATTTACCACTGAGTGCACAGCTCCTGGCAGCATGAAATGGAGCTAGCCCCTTGATGCTAACAGCATTGTTCAGGTTTGTTGACTAAAGCCATGTTTCTGTCAGAATTATGGCACAGCAGATCATCTCATTTAGATGTTAATTCCAACTGCAGATGATCTATTTTGTTCTCCAGGGAATGAACATTGGAGAGGAAGAGGGATGGAAGCAGGATTTTGCAGGGGTTAGCTTTTAGCTTAGCTAGCATCATCTGTTTCCTACTAAATAGTCACAGCAGTCTTATTCAATTCACTCATTCATCATATTCTGTTGCACACTTACATGCCATTGCTGTTCTGTACTGTGACTGTGGTGGTGCTTGGTTGTGTTGGCAGAGCAGTGGCGGTCCAGTTGAGGCTGTCTGCAGTGGTGAAGTTACAGCCCTTAGTAGTCAGTGACAGAGGTTGGGTCATTGCAGGAGGGGAAGGGTATATCTGGGCTCCGATGCACACACTTAGGGACACGATCAACCCTGATATTAGACCTGACAAAGCTCCCTGCAGAAAAACTGTATATCATGAAACTCCCTCACAAGCAAAATACAGAGAGACAACTTTTTGCACAGCAGTGATGGAATTTTAAAAAGGTGGCCAGCAAGTGAGCAAGGGCAATCTATAAATTGATTGAAAATAAATTGATTGAAAAAAAAAGCAATTGCGAATTATAATTTTAGTTATCCTTTATTCAGGATTAAACAATATTTGAATCAAAATCTGCAGGATTGTTTGCTTATGCATCCAGGCCACTGTCAGTTATGAAATTCTGCTTAGATGGTTGTTTATAGATAAATTTGACACTAGGTTTTCAGGAGCTTTTATGGTACCAAACTGTTTTTGTTTGCAGCTTCACAAGTGCTTAATGTATATTTGCTTTTTAAAAAAAAATCTTCTATATAATTTTTCATACCAAAATGAGCAACAGAAAACTGTCGTGGTTTGGCTTCATTTCCTGTTCTGACAGCTTTTATTTTGGTTAGATGTCCTGCCCTGTGTCACCTCTTCTGCCCCAGCTTTACACCAGTACACAATCACCAATCATTGTTTGCACTTGTAGCTCATTAACAAATGGTCTATAGCCCTTATATACCTCCTCCTTTCCCTCAGTCTCTCGATGGTCCATTGATGATACTCACTCCGGTTCACAAAACTTACCACACCTGGCCTTTCTTGCTCTGTTCTTTGGCAGTGATGACACTGTCGCCATTCCTATCCCATCTCCTGCCTGAACTGTCTTGCCTGTGAGTTCCTGACTCTCCAGAGATGCTGCCGCACTCCTGTCCTGCACTATGTGCTGAGAACCAGCGATGCTGCCACACCTCAGCCTTAACATACTTAGTGAGTTCCTGAATCTCCAGTGACGCTATTGCACTCCTGTCCTGCATTATGTGCTGTGTACAAGCAACACTGCCAACAACTCTGCCTTACTCAACTTAGCTGTCAGTTCCTGAATCTTCAGTATTACTGTTGCACTCCTGTCCTGCACAACGTGCTGTGAACCAGTGACGCTGCCACACCTCAGCCTTAATCAGCTTACCTGTGAGTTCCTGAATCTCCAGCAACACTGTCACTAGTCCTGCCTTGCATTACCTGCTGCATGTTCCTGATCTACAAGCGACACTGCCATCTCCTCTGCCTCACCCAATGTCCTCGTGTGTCCCTGAATCTCCTGCGGCACAGTCACTATTCCTGTCCTGCATTACTTCCTGTGTGTTCCGGACCACACCTGCCTAACTCTACTTACCTGTGAGCTCCCGACCATTTAGCGATGCCGTCGCCATACCTGTCCAGATCTACTTGCCTGTCAATCCCTGGCTTCCCAGTGACACGGCCATCCAGCCTGCCCAGCTCACTTACCTGTGGATTTCAGGCTCCTAATCTACGTTGATGCTTCCCCCTGCCTGCTCAACTCACCTGTATGCTCCTGGGTCTCTGGCTACACCAATGAATCACCTGCCTGCTCAACTCACCTGTGTGATCCTGGCACCAACACTATGGCTACATCTCTCCCGCCTACTTGACTCACCTGTGTGTTAACAGATTTTCTACTACTCCAACACCGTTCCTACCTGCACGACTAAACTGTTTGTTCCTCATCATGTCCTGGACTGCGACTGACCAGGGCTCACCCTCAGTTGCTATTTTTGGATCTTGTACTCCTTATTTAAAATACAAACTTTCTAAACCATCGTACTAGCCTGGGTCTCCATTTTGGGTCCTAGTCCAGTGTGAGAATCATAACACAAAGTTATTTATTTGCAAATTGAAATTCTGGATTAATCTCTGTTTAAAATTAGCATAACTTAAAGAACACACAAGAAAAAGCAGAAGCTTTAGTTAAATGAGGACAAACTTACTTTAGAATTAGCAAATGGACAAAGGATTCCCAATGTGAACACACCAAATAAAGGACCTCCAGTGACCCCAAAGATGGTGACACCTGTCTGTTTGGAGAGACATACCATACAGTTTTGCTTCAAAAACACAATATGACCTCACCACCTATCCCAGCATGGTAAAAAACAGTTTAGCAATTACACTGCATACCATAAAGTTCTCAAATGAACAATAAATACATCATTCCTTATACTGTTTGTCTATGGACCGATATGCTTGCATATTAACTGATCTACTCTACCTGCATCATCCCTCCCATAACTGAGGCCAGTCCAGCCATGGAGATGCATAGCATCCCAAATAAGAAACCTGCAAACAACATTGTGTCAGAAATGAAGATTTTAATCCTATTTACTTTAAGTTACAGCCTCAGTCACACACCAAATAATTCAGCTGACATAGAGTCTAGACTTTAAACAGGGACTCACTCAGTCCTTTAGAGGCCCAGGATAGCTGTTTCTCAGACATATTAGTGTATGGTTTGATTAGGTCCTCTAGTGTCACTGCAGCCAGTGCATTGACGATGGAAGACATTGTACTAGGGGTGAAATGGCAACAAAATCACAAAAAAGCTACCAACAACCATCATATTTATGCATGTTTTTAACAGTCAATGCCACTTTTAAGTATTGAAGTTGGGTCTGAGGAGTATAGTTGTCATGTTGAGTATAAACCTTAGAGAGCCACTATATACTGCTGCAAAAAATAGCCCTGGCAGGCCAGGAGTGCTTGTCATGATGTCCACCACCAGGTATGGCATCAGCTGTAGTGATGGGATGACAAGGGATTAACATACATGATAGGGAGTTCTTGGAAGCTCACAAATTAGGATACATTAAATGTTTTTGTTAAAACATTAAGGACCTTATTACTGGACTATACTTTACCTGATCAGAAGCAGAGACCAGTCCAGCTGTCCATGGGTCACAGTTCTTATAGAAAGAATAGAGGCTCATTCCTGCAAACACTGAGCACACCATGAAGAAACACAGACCTAATAGGCTCATGCACATTGCTCTGGAAAAAAGAAACACAGCAGTATAAACAAAGGTGGAATCCAAAGACACAAACCTGTAAAAGCATATAATAGCAAGGAGGATAAACAGCATCTGTTATCACTAGATATTGATATAATTTTACTTATCAAAAAGAATTGGACAAATTTACAAATTTGGCACCTCCCACATGAGAGTATAAAAACCAACTTCTGCTTAATTCATAAAACAAAACTCCAGCCATTATACAATACTACAAAACACAACACAATTTGGTGTCCAAATAAATTCTTCTTTATCATATGTGACTCACACTCTGGCATGAGTGATGGTTTTGCAGGAGACATATCTCTGAACCTGGGCCTGGTTGGTCCCATAGACAGCAATCCAACCAACTGCCCCGCCGATAACTATGGTCCAAAAAGTGTATCTCCTTAGAGGGTTTATGTCAAAGCTGTTGACAGACAGTAAGCAAATTTCCAGTTCAGTTGAATTGCCACACACACAAAATCTTCCATCCTGATATGCAAGGTTTGAATCAAACTGTTATTTCTTCTCTTGGTGTCCTCAGCACATTAATATTTTTTTTATTTTAATATTTTATCTTTTTTTTTTCATACTCACTCCCAAAAGTTAAGTCTCCCTCCTTGCTGTGCATCCAAAATGATGGGGAGGATCCCTCCTTTTAAGATCACACACTTGATTATAACAGACATGTAGCCTGCAAGCATTACTCCAACCTAGAAGAAAAAGTGGGTGACATGTTTGGTCTGGTTACAACATGTAATCAGGTTCAGGTCCTAATGTTCGATCTAATTATAACAGTTTGTTCTAATTATGCAAAATCCAGCTGAAGTGTAAAGACTTGTCTGATTTCTCTGAACTATATTTCTTGTGGTAGTCTACAGCTGCTGTATAAGAAACACTAGCGTACAGTACAGTATAAAGACTGAAAAATGGTCAGTTCTACCATAGCAACATCTCTTTGTGTATTTTTTACATCCAGAAGCCTACCTGAAACACATCTGTCCACACCACGGCCTTCAGTCCACCCTGTTACAATATTGATCAAAAAAAAGGTGTTGGGTAAGTATTAGGGATGGGACAATATGTATTGTTTTGTCTAGCGATATATATCGTGTAGTCTCCATATACCAGTAACTTCATATTTTTTGTAAGCACAAGTCAATATGTTTGGTTGTTCTCTACATAATCAAACCAGTACTCCAAAAAGAGGACAAAATGAATAAAGTACAAGTATTGCATAGATAGTCATACATTGTTGTGACTGAATTTTTTTTATTGTATCATGATTGAATTAAAATGTACACACCATTTCGTGCTTCGAATCGTACCAAGAAAAAGTCATATTGTCCCATCCCTAGTAATTATATCATTTCAAATACAGATATCTAAAGCAGATGTCAAGCACAGTAACCAGTCAGGAGTGCTCACCTTACCTGAGAGAGCTATTTAGGCTTACGGCTGAGGATAATGAGCTGGGAAGCGAGATTTGACCAATTTATTAAAACAATGGCAACATTTAAAAGATTTAAATAAAGCTCAGAATAGTTCCTATTGCCAGAGTTTATGTATAACTATTAGTAAACTATTATTAATGTGCTTCTGACAGGCAAATCAATTTTCCTTTTGATATAATACAATTAATAAATGAAATAAATCATGTATAGCTTATAAAGTCATTATTGGTCATTATTGGAAGGAAGATGGACCCCTAAAACTTAGACAAATTTGATTTCTTGTTAGTAAAGGTGTTTGTACAATACTTTTAAAAGTGCTTTAAAAGCATATTGCAATTTGATTATGACAGAATTCATGTGTAATTCACACTCATCTTCAACAGGTCCACCAACATCCCAGTCCCCAAGAAAACCCCCATCAGTGGATTGAACGACTACAAACCTGTTGCCCTGATATCTGTAGTTATGAAGTCCTTTGAGTGACTAGTGTTGGCCCACCTGAAGGACAGTGTAGACCCCCTGCTGGACCCCCTGCAATTTGCCTAACGGGCTAACTGGTCAGTGGACGATGCAGTGAACATGACACTGCATTACATCCTGCAACACCTTGACTATGCACGGGCCCTCTTTGTGGACTTCAGCTCGGCATTCAACACCATCATCCTGGACATCCTCCACTCCAAACTGACCCAGCTCACTGTGCCTGCCCCCACCTGTCAGTGGATTACTAGCTTTCTGACAGACAGGAAGCAGCAGGTGAGGCTGGGGAAAACCACATCCACCACCCGGACAATAAGCACAGGCGACCCCCAGGGATGTGTGCTCTCCCCTCTGTTGTTTTTACTCTACACCAACGACTGCACCTCAAAGGACCCCTCTGTCAAGCTCCTAAAGTTTGCTGATGATACAACGGTCATTGGTCTCATCCGAGACAGTGACGAGTCAGCTTATAGATGGAGGGTTGAACAACTGGTCCTATGGTGTACTCACATCAACCTAGAGCTGAACATGCTCAAAACAATGGAGATGACAGTGGACTTGGCAGCACTGTATCAGCAGTAAAGTCCTACAAGTTCCCGGGCTCCACTCTCTCCCAGGACCTGAAGTGGGCATCCAACATCAGGACCATCATCAAGAAGGCACCGCAGAGGATGTACTTCCTGTGCCAGCTCAGGAAGTTCAGCCTGCCTCAGGAGCTGCTGATACAGTTTTACAGAGGAATCATCGAGTCTGTTCTCTGCACCTCCATCACTGTCTGGTTTGGCTCAGTTACCAAACAGGACAAGTACAGACTTCAGTGAACAGTCAGGACTGCAGAAAAGGTCATTGGTGCAAGCCTCCTCTCCACAGAGGACCTGTACATCTCATGGGTCAGAAGGAGGGCAGAGAAGATTTCTGCAGACCCCTCACACCCTGGACACAATCTGTTCGAACTCCTCCCCTCTGGACAACCCAGGCACAAGGACAGTTTCTTCCCCCGGGCCATCACTCTGATTAACACTTATCTCACGACATTATGACTGAACAATAACCCTCAGTGCAATACCTGTAAATATACCTTATACATATCAATCCGTTGAATCCAGACTGTGTATATAGTACTTTATTTTTATTCCTAATGCACATTCCTTTGCTTGATTGCACATTACTTCTTTACTTCTGTTCTCAGCCTTACATTGTTTACTTGACCACTGCTGCCTTACATAAGGACATGTACATATGCATTGAGAGCCGCTGTACCAGAGTCAAATTCCTTGTGTGTCCAACACACCTGGCCAATAAAGCCGATTCTGATTCTAACTGATTTATTTACTAACCAATGTGCAGTAGAGAGTACAGACAGTGCCTGCTGAAATAATTCCACTCCACAGATCCATATCAGTAACTGCAAAGAGTGAGAGAAGAGGGTGTTGCACAGCAATGACGCACAACCAAACAGTTTTAAGTACCTTCACGTAAGAGACTGATGTGAATTGTGAACCTGACTGACCGTACCTTGATTTAAAGCTAGAGCTGGGCCATAAATGATGATTCCAGTGAAGAGGATCTTGAACAGGAAAAGATATAAGAAAATATATCAACATAAATGAGCATCAGATGAAAAACTGAGGTTTGACCGATGGAAGTTAAAACCATGTCATGTGTTGACTGCCTTCTTACTCACTGTTTGAACCATGAAGAGCACAGTTCCCATCAGACGGGTTGCTTTGTTGAAACGAAGCTCCAGGTACTTGGAGGAGACATGACAGAAAAACACAGACATTGTAACATTTCTACTTGCTACTAATTATAACTGAACCCTATGTATTTATATACCATTAGATTACAGGAAGGCATGTTGTTTTGAAGTCTGCAGTCATCCCAGGATCAGTGGTAAAACATTAAATACTCAAGTACTGAACTAAAGATTTGGTGTTCTGCCCTGTATTCTGAGAATGCTAAAATAGAAAATAAAGTGTATAGCAATAACTGCTGACATTCAGGAAATGTTTTATTGCAGCGACCACTGGTTGGATTTACTGACCTTGGAGCTACTTGAAAGGGAGTGATGTTTCCACTACTTGGTGGGACTTAAGGGTAAGTTTAAAAAAACACGTTGCATGTCTGTTAATGCCTTGTTTCTGTAACGTTAGAGAGAATTGTTGTAAGGCTGGAGAAGTTACTGTGTCTGCATTATGCCAGTTAAAATATGTGGTTTCTCAATTACCCACTTTGTTTAGAGTGTTACAAATCTCTTTTCATCGATACATATACCGTTGTTTACCTATCTATGGAGGAGAAATTCAAATCAATTAATGCCGTTGTGGTTTGTTGTGCTGTCCACTTTTGACACACCACCACCAATAGGAGTTGTGCACGTTCACAAACTATTCTCTTCTTTTTAGGAAAAGGTTCTCTGGTTTTATTGTTCTGAAATAATAAGATATTGTTCTGAAATAAGATTATATATTAAATGGTTGGAAACAAGCATGCCATGGCCACTTTAATCTTAGTCTTAATTCAGGGTTTGTTCCAGCTGCATTTAAGCAGGCTACAGTTATCTACTATTCTGTTGCAATCTTTTATTGAGGAAAACGGTATCTATGAAAAATTCCAGTCTCATTTTAGACTACAACACAGTACTGAATTTGCATTGCTGAAAGTCTAATGATCTCCTCCTGACAATTGATTCTGGTGACTCAGCCCTTTTGGTGCTTTTAGACAGCTGCATTTGGTACTTTAGACCATTAGATACTTGTCTCTCGGCTGAACCAGTGGGTGGGGCTTAGGCTCCGAGATGGTTCCAGTCTTATTTAACTGACGGAAGCTTTTCTGTAAAGCATTCATCTTCAAAGCCCACACAGTTCCTTGCCTCAAGCTATGTGCAGCAGTGCTGTCAGCTGAAATGGCAGAGTTGATACTAGATGAGGGGGATCACATACCAGATGCCATTCTACTCTGATGCAAAGTTGTTCTTGGGTACATTTTCAATCAGTCCAATCACTTCTTTGTCTATGCCCATAATCAAGTTCAACATATTCATCAGACAACATCAACAGAACAGTGCCATTATGTACTTACAGATCAGAACCCAGCTGATATTGCAAAAAGATCAATACCTGGAGAAAGGCTCACCAACAGTGTGTAATTTAGTGGACCATCTTTCCACCAAAAACCCCTGGTCCTGAAAAGTATGAGACCTATGAGCTTGTCAATCCTGAACTTGACTCTGAAATTAAGTCACAAGTAACCACTCCTGCTATGCACACTAAGGAGGAGAAACTGGGATCAGAGTGATTTGAGTGCTTCTGCACCTGGGATTCTCTCATGAGAGCCATTGCATTCTTGGTCCATTAAGCTCATTCCCACAAGTTGGACTCCAATAGCACTTTTCAGAAATGCAAAGGATTGCATCAGTGCAACAGACTCTATATGCCAAGATATGGAAGTGGTCAGAAGAATCATTATTTCAACTATTCATAAAGATGCTTATCCAGTGGAGTTTGTTACATTGTGGGAGAAGAAAGACATCTCTAAAACCTGCTCACTTTTGAGTCTTGACCATCTCATGGATGATGGTCTCATCCAGATTGGTGCACTTTTGAATCATTCTTCACTGGACTCAGTGGTTAAGAGCCCAGTCTTTCTTCCAGTGCAGAGCCACATCACAAAGTTGGTGTGGCACTATCATGAGGAAGGCAGGGAAGAAGCTTATAAGTTCAGTGATACATCACTGTTGTCATATGTCACAAGCTAAGAGGGAAGACAGAAGAACAAAAGACGTCAGATATTCCTCCACAATGTCTAAGTACTTCGATAGAGAGTCTCCATTCTGGATAAAAAATGAACACATAAAAACACACAGGATTAGGAGCAGTAGACGGCAAGCCGTGCACAATGGCGCCATCTTGCACACTCCTCCTCTGTTGACAGGCTCCTACTTCAGCTCCCATTATCTATGTGGGACTAGATGTTTTTGGTCCTTGGATGGTCATCACAACACACAAGAAGAGGTGCAGCACAGAACAAGCAAAGGGCCATACAGTACACTTAACATCTATGAGTACCAGAGCAGTACATATTGAAGTTGTAGAATCCATGGATTCTGCCAGCTGCATCAATGCACTGCAGAGGTTGTTTGCTGTAAGAGAACAAGCAAAACAGCTTTGATCGGATTGGGGAACCAATTTCATTGGAGCCAATATGGAATTGACAAGAACAAGAACAAGAGCACCCTGAGCTACCCCGATGAAAATGGTTGTATATGGGAATTTAATCAAGCACATGCATCATACATGGGAGATGCATGAGATTGTATGATGTGTTGCCCATAGGATTCTTGACTCCATGTTACTGTAAAATAAGGGTTTTCCCTTAACCCATGATGTGCTGTGTACTCTGCTCATGGAAGTATCAGCAACCATCAACTTGTTAGGTATTTTTAGTCAGATAGATATTGGTTAGGTACTTGTTGTATTAGAAATGTTTTTAGTGTAGACAGGATGTCTAGCTCAGGCTGTTAAATGCTTACTCATTTTCATGAGTTACTCCAGGTTGTTTATGGTCAAGGATAACTAGATAGAGAGTATATGACGTGTTTAATCATAATCATAATATCTTCTTATGCCTAATGTCAGGACATGTCACTGAATGTCCTGTTTTTAGATACACACCACTTAATCAACACACACACACACACACACACTCACATTGATTTTCTTCATGTTTTGACTATTGCTATGGCCAGCTGCACGGCTGGCACCAGAGACGTCACGGTTTGACGTCCCTGTGTAGAATGGGGTTAGCCCAAAACAGATATAATGTATAGGCCTGTTGGGTTCGGGGTCTTTCATCTTCCAGCTGCCTGCGTGCATGTTGGGGGTGCAAGATACCTGAGCGTGTAATGTTAACTTTTACCTGTGTTCATTGAATAAATCAGCACTGTATTGAAGTTACTTGGACTGCCTCGTCTCTCAGAATTAGCGTGGTACAAGAACTGGAAAGACTTCAAACTCAAGACCTCAATCCCTCTGTCCTGTGATCCTGACTCTCCATTTCTGCTGACCCCTGCTGTACTTCTTACTCAGAAACCTGGGATTCATCCACCACCTGTTTCTTCAGGCAACAGTGAAAACAAGTCCAACCATGGGCAAATATGTTTTGGACCCACTAGAGGGATGAGTATCTCACCACTCTCCAACCAAGATACAAATGGAAAAGAAGCCATCAAAATCTGCAATGTGGAGATGTGGTACTCTTGAAAGACAAGAGGTCCCATCAAAAAGAATGGTTCGTGGGATTGGTTACTGCCACCTCTCCCAGCAAATGACAGCATGGTCCGAAAGATAGAAGTATGGATAACATCTCAAGGCACTCCCAAGCCCTTCTTAAGGTCAATATCTCATATCATCCTTATCTTGTCAAAAGGGGACTGAACATCAGGGATGGATGTTTGAACTGAGTTTGTTATGGCATCTAGAGATACCAGGTGGGGGGGTGTTTATTCTCATGATACTAAAGTAGAAAAGAAAATTTATAGTTAATGCTATATTTAGTTTACTCTTTGTGCTAGTTAAGTTCTATATTTAAAAAGGTCATAAGTGGAGTCACATGGGAAACATAGTAATGAGAGCTCATTCAGCCCACTCTTTAGCTTCATCATCATATTGCATGGTTGGTTCAATTGCTAGCCATCCTTTTCTTGCAGCCCACAGAAGCCATCAGTTGTGTTTACTGTTTTATACTTGTAAGACATTTATATTACTTAGCTCCGTGCTTTTTTTGTGTATTTTTTTGTAAACTAATGTTATTGGTTTGTGTTATGTAAAGTTACCCATGTGGTCAGCAGTTATGCTAGGGTTGGGACTTCAAGAACATGTAAATTCTTCTAAAAGAATTGTTTCCTTTATTTTTATTTTATACAGATTCACTCAGTTTCATGTTTGTCACATACATAACATAAATAAAGGAGCAACAAT